GGGGGGGGGGGGGGGGGGGGGGGGGCGGGGAGCCAAGATGGAACCCTCTCCTGAGGCCAAGGCCCCTCCCACGTCTTCTGGGAGCTGTGAAACCAGCAGAGGTCACAGGAGCTGAGCACGCCGATGAGCAGGGAAGGACAGGAAGGCAGAGAGAAGAGCAGTCCAGGCCCAGGGTGGACAGAGGGGCCAGGGCACAGACAGGAAGACACCCTCAGTAACGGCCGCAAGATTCTTCCTGCGTCTCCAGGAGACATCACCCTGAGTCACCCGGGATCCTGCTGCCTCCTAAGAGCCCCTCCCNAGGGTGGACGGAGGGGCCAGGGCACAGCCAGGAAGACACCCTCAGTAACGGCCGAAAGATTCTTCCTGTGTCTCCAGGAGACATCACCCTGAGTCACCCGGGATCCTGCTGCCTCCTAAGAGCCCCTCCCCATGAAGCCTCTGGGAAACACACCAGGTGAGGGGCTAAGAAGTGGTCAGAGCAAGAAAAGGTTAATGAACCCAGCCCTGGGTCCATGGAATGTGCGACCAAAAAGAGGCAGCTGTGACACAGGGTTTTCTAGGGCAGTATCTCAGGCCCAGGGACGGGGCGGGCTCATATGCTCTACCCTCAGCCCTACTATGGTCACCACCGCCCACCAACTCGAGCCTGAGGCTGCTGGAGGACACAGAACCAAGCCTACAGTCACTTCCAGGAACTGTTCTCCATGCTACCTGCTGGCCTCGGGCACTGGTCAACTCATCCATGACAGAAGGTCAGGGGAGAGCAAAGGCCCCAAGGCAGGCACTGCAATATAGTAAGTTACTCTGTCAAGGGCTCAACAGAGACTCTTCACACCAAGCTCATTTCTGATTATCAGGCTGAATGTGAGCAACTTTGGCCATTATGTTTGAAAGGCTACTTCCATTTTTAAATCTTCATCAGAAACAGTAAGTAACTAGAAAAACTATGCAGGGGGAAAAATCAAGGTTTGAGCCTCCCCTTATAACACAGACCAAAAATTAAATCTAGATGAACTCAGTAAGTGCAGTAAAGAATGAGACCATTTGAAACAAAGAGATTCGATCTTTGTACCCGCCAGCTGCCAAAAAGAAAGACAAAGTGAGTGGGGCAGAGGTGAAAATTTAACTGATTTTAGAATACAGACAGATTAAATAAGACACAAATTTTTGAAAGTACAGCTTTCCACAGAAGATATACAAGGGACAAAATAAATACGAAACAAAGTTCAACATCATTAGTAATTTTTAAAAGCTAATTAAAATAGAAAGAGGCCATTTTTTACTTATCAAATCAGTTTACCTTTTTCTTCCTTTAACGATAACAGTCTGTGCTGGCAAAGACATCACAGGAGCACTTTCCTCCTGCCCCTGAGAATCTGGGTTCACACAATCTCCTCTAATGGCAAGTGCCAGTATGGGAGCCTGTTGCTCAGAAAAGCACTCAGATGCCCCTTCAACATGCCTTCTCTGTGGTGACAGCACACCTACGCCTGCCCATAGGAGAGACACACTGTAGAGGGTGGTTCCAGCAGAACAGAAAAACTCAGGTAGAAGAGAAGTTGCGAATCTACTCCCCCTGCAACACTGAAGCTATTGCCCTGAGTAGCAAAATGTTACTATCTCCCAGATACAGTGTTTCCATTCTCACATCTAAGAGGCTCTCAGCAATGGCAGGGAGGTGGTGCGCGGTGCCGCTAGGCCTGTGGCTAGGCTGTGGTGGGGTTTGAGAGTCATGAGGCTATAGTGGGAGGCTCCGAACCCCAGGGCCCCCCAGCCCCTCGCCTCTTCTCCTCTACATAATCACAACCTGCAAACGTTAGCAAAGCAGCATCACTTAGCCCTAATCCTGGCTTCTAACACCACAAACGCCAAATCCTGTACATCAGCATTTCATAGAGTGTAGTCTGCTGAATGCTAGTTTACAAAATGATAATAAGAATGGCAAGAAGCAAAGGCATGAGAGTTACACATGCCTCAGAATCCCTGGGATGACATGGTTAAACCAACCCATTCCTGTAGGGCTGCAGGGCCCCTTACATGCCAGGCACCCAAATCCCCAACAGGGGGCAGGATACTTCCCAGGGACTGGAGCCAGTTCTGGTAAAATGGTGAAGATTCTAATTCCACCCACTGCCCTAGCGTGGACCCAGTTCCAGTCTCACCTGGAGCCTGCCACACCCCAATGTCTGCACTCTTCCTCCTCCACCACCCCAATCCACCCACTGAGTGTGTGTGTGTGTGTGTGTGTGTGTGCGTGTGAGGGCATGTATGTGCACATCTGTGCATGAGTGGGGTACAAATGCATGTGGAGGGGGTATGTGTGTGTGCATGTGAGGGCATGTATGTGCACATCTGTGCATGAGTGGGGTACAAATGCATGTGGAGGGGGTACATTCCATGTCTCACTTCTGCTAAAGCACAAACCCCACAGCCTCTGGCCCAGTGTCTGACACATGGGAAACCCTCAAAAACCTGTTAAAGAGGCTGCTAACCTATGAAGTCCAGAGAGGGACACCAGGAGTGGGGGCCCAAAGAGGTTCCACAGACAGAAATAAAAGGGGTCACTGCATCATCCTCGAGCAGCAGGATATTGGGATGGGGTGGGCATAGAAGATGAAGTAGCTACAGGGCCTGGAGGGTGCCCCAGACTATCTGCCGGGTGGGCTTCGCTGTGTGAAGTGCAGGGAAGGCACATCCCTGGGCCAGAGAGACCCCAGAAGGGACCAGTGCCTTCTGCCTGCCCACCCTTCATCCCACAGTCTTCTGGGATGTGCTGGGGAGCTAGGGCCCTGTGTGTTCACACACTGCACAGGTCCAGATGTGGATTCTATGGAAGAGACCACAGTGGACAAAGTCGAGGACCCCATGGAAGCACCTGTGCTGGAGCAGGAAGAGCTCAAGAGTGTCAACAGCCTCCACCCACTAGTGTCATGGAAACACCCTCTCCAAACACCTGTGTCAAATGCCAGTTAAGTCCAGAGGCAGAGAAGAGATGGCACCGGGAAACTGGCTTGATTCCTGACTTCTCCAAACCAGACACATTAGATATTTATTTTACCAATTATGAACAATAAGTACACTGGGGGGGGGGGGGACCTCTAGGTGGAACTTTTTTCCCATATGGTAAAAATCCAAACTTAAGCAGTTCTCCTCCACAATTTTGGAGAAAATTTATTCCATGATCCTAAAGATAAGTAAAAGGGTGCTTCAAAAAGTTTGTGGAAAGATTCATATTATCCTTCAATCCTATTTTTCCATGAACTTTTAAAAGTAATTTTGTACAATATCTCAACCTAAAAACATGAGCCCGGGCCATGCTAGGCGGCCTGCCTGTGAGCATGCCCCCGAGGAAAGTAAACAACAGTACTGGACACAATTATATTTAGGGATCTGATTTGGATGAAACTTAGACTGACTTAAGGCCACAGTAGTGCACCTGGCCACTGTCCCACAGCAGCAGACAACCGCTACCCTCAGCCAAAGGGAAAGAAGGAGGAAGGACGGAGTCTTCAAAACAAGGTTTTTCTATTTTTGTTAAACAAAAATGCGTGTCCGCTGACCCTTCCCCTCAGAAGTAGCCTGGCCCAGAGACAAACCTTGCAATGAGACTCCAGAAGTTTCCCAAAGTTGCTGCAGTGAGCAAACCACCTCATACCAAAGTCCAATTCTGGGAGCAGGAGGCCAACTCACAGCCCACCTTCCAAAAAACGAACACACAAAAATCAACAGCTGCCTGAGACCAGGGCTGGGAGAGAGTGCAAAGGAGCAGAGAGTGCTCGGGGCTCGGGCTCGTGAACTCAGGGTGGAAACATTCGTCAAAATTCCTCAAACTGTACACTTAAAATGGGCGCATTTTATTTAATGTAAATCATACCTCAATAAGGCTGATTTAAAAACTAACTAGTAAGAGAGCAGAACGTGACCAAAAAGTCAAAAGCAGAGCTCTGGCCGCCAGCCGCCTGGAGTCCTTCCCGCGACACTGTTCCACCAGGACATCCTCATGAGGAGAACCGCGACCCCTTAACTGCATGGACAGCGGGGCCTTGGGATCATCCCGAGGAAAGGAAAATGTCAGCTTCTGGCCTCAGAATGCAGCTGTGAGACCTATCATTTCCTCTGAAATTCACTCTCCCAATTACATCTGGCTTCAACAACTGTTTAACTTCAACTTCCTTAGCAGAATGCAAATGACAGTAGGAGGAAGTGGGCCTGAGAGGAGCAGGAAAACATAGTCCCTGCTTACGTATTTTCCAGAAAGTTTGGCTATAAAAAAAACAAACCACACAGCAGTGAGAAGGGCTGGCCGAGACGACCCCTCCCCCAGACAGCCCTGCGAGCCCACCACGTCCCTCCTACTGTCGCCTTCATTTCACGGTTTTCCCACCACACCCCAGTCGCTGGAAACGCAAACTCCCTGAGGGCAGGGACCCAGGCGTGAGAAGTTTCTGATGAGTGTGACCTGGACGTTAAAGGAAGAGGCAGATCTGGAGATCATACTGAGGGTCTCTGCTCCAACAGAACATTTTTCCAGGGAAATAATCTCATCCTAAGAAGTCTGTGACTAACCTGAGACCACACAGCTGGCCCGGGGCAGATTGGGCGCCTGACCCACCCAAGAGCAACGGACGGTCCGTGCCGCCAGCCGGAGGCACCCCCAGGTGGGAAGCCTCCAACCTACCAGAAGAGTATCCGTAAGATATTGGCCACCAGAAGCACCAGACACACGTAGGTGGAGAAGCCGTCGGCGTTCTGCGCCCTCCGGATGTCCCTGTACTGCGGGATGTACGGCACCACCCCTCCGAAGACCAGGGCCCCGGCGGCGCCCCAGGACACGAGAGGGACACCAGGAGTGGGGGCCCAAAGAGGTTCCACAGACAGAAATAAAAGGGGTCACTGCATCATCCTCGAGCAGCAGGATATTGGGATGGGGTGGGCATAGAAGATGAAGTAGCTACAGGGCCTGGAGGGTGCCCCAGACTATCTGCCGGGTGGGCTTCGCTGTGTGAAGTGCAGGGAAGGCACATCCCTGGGCCAGAGAGACCCCAGAAGGGACCAGTGCCTTCTGCCTGCCCACCCTTCATCCCACAGTCTTCTGGGATGTGCTGGGGAGCTAGGGCCCTGTGTGTTCACACACTGCACAGGTCCAGATGTGGATTCTATGGAAGAGACCACAGTGGACAAAGTCGAGGACCCCATGGAAGCACCTGTGCTGGAGCAGGAAGAGCTCAAGAGTGTCAACAGCCTCCACCCACTAGTGTCATGGAAACACCCTCTCCAAACACCTGTGTCAAATGCCAGTTAAGTCCAGAGGCAGAGAAGAGATGGCACCGGGAAACTGGCTTGATTCCTGACTTCTCCAAACCAGACACATTAGATATTTATTTTACCAATTATGAACAATAAGTACACTGGGGGGGGGGGGG